CATTCAAATTTTTAAATTCACTAATTTATTGTTGCCAACATATACATGTAACATGTACATCATTCTATATGTTCATAAATATAAGGCAACTTTATCAGAGTGGACACTTCTTTGTTCAACAGTTCCACCTGCTTTACCCACCAAACCTCCAATACCTGTTCCAGGAATTCCTCCTCTTGCAGTTGTAAGTAACAGTTTGCTTTACATAGCTGTACATTTCATAGTGGTTTAAGAACCTGCTGGCAGAAAATTGCCATTTTAATACCCCAAAATAGAAGAACCTGTTTAGCCAAGTAGGATCAAGTAGGTTCTTATATGTGGGTATACAAGTCTTGTTACAGAGAAAACATCACATTTATGTACATTCTGTAATCAGTCATGTAGGACTTATCATAATACAGTTGTGAACAGTGGCAGATCTAGGGGAGGGGCCTGGGGGGGCTGCCCCCCCCCCTTATTTTGGGTTATGAAAGAAGAAATCACAGAAGGAAGAAAAGCTGGCAGGGCAATCAAAACAGAACTGCCCCTTCCCCCTCCTTCCCCACACCCCCTTAGCTCAAGGTCTGGATCTGCCACTGGTGAATATTGTAACAATGCCATCAGAGTAAGTAAAAGATTTCATCCAATCACCTCTATTCACTCTTGCTAGTGATTAACTGGATATGTTACTTGGAGAGCTGACATGCCAGACATTGGCATACGTCATTGTGGCAGGTTTTATTTCATTGTTGTTGTTGTTTTTAACCTCCAGCCACCTGGTCTGCCTCTTCTTCCTACTCCGACAACAATTCCCTCTGGGCGACCTCAATACAGACCAGAAAATAAACACACTAATAACCAGGTTAGTGGTTTATCTTTTTCATTTCATGTTTATTTTCTAATGGGTTATCAGTTAAGTTCAGGGCTGGGCTGGGTTGTTCGAAAGCCAATTAATGCTAACCCAGGATTAAAAGTTGACTGAAGTATTAATTTTTCTTGTATACAAATCTTTTTCACTTCTTATGTTTTGTGTACGTGTAGTTTTAGATTACTCAAGCTTAAAACAGAAGGACAAACAATATAAACAGGAAACCTCACTGAAATCAAAATTCTCATCAATCCTGGGTTAGCTTAATNAGACCAGAAAATAAACACACTAATAACCAGGTTAGTGGTTTATCTTTTTCATTTCATGTTTATTTTCTAATGGGTTATCAGTTAAGTTCAGGGCTGGGTTGTTCGAAAGCCGGTTAATGCTAACCCAGGATTAAAAGTTGACTGAAGTATTAATTTTTCTTGTGTACAAATGTTTGTTCACTTTTTATGTTTTGTGTACATGTTTTGTATACAATATAAACAGGAAACCTCACTGAAACTAAAATTCTCATTAATCCTGGGTTAGCTTAATTGGGCTATGAACAACCCAGCCCATGTTCTTCAATACACAAGAGGAAATCTCATGGGTAAAGCTCATATATTGTATATATTACACTGTATTGTACACAGTATCACACTATCAGAAAGTGTGTCCTATGAAGATATGAGTGATCATTGCAATTATACAAATTATGCTTTTACCCATAAATCAAACCTTTGTAATATATAGGTATATGTAACAGTTATTTCTACATGTATATGGATAATCAATATTGTGTACTCTTTTATGTCGGTCATAACAAGGTTTTGCAGAGCCTGTAGAAATGACTGTGTCCAGTGTTGAGTGCTTATTTCGATTTATTTTCATTTCAGAATCAAAATCAAGGAAATTCATCCAAAACAACAACAGTGTTTGTAGGTAATATAACTGAGAGAGCGTCTGATGCACTTATAAGACAAATTTTAACGGTATGTATATTTCCTCTACTCGTTCTAAATTCTTAACTGTGATTAAATATGCTTGTTAAACTGGTCTTTGGTGAAGGCAATCCTCAGTGTATCGTGTTATGTTTTTGTGAGAGCAGAAATGCGGTCTTGTAGTAAACTGGAAACGTGTGCAAGGAGCCAAGGGAAAATTACAAGGTAAGCACATGCTCACTGTTTAATACTTGATTGAAACTTCTAAAGTGGAAAAAATAAAGATAAAATCATCCAAGTTGGTATTAATTGTTTTTCTTCACATTGTAGCTTTTGGATTCTGTGATTATGGAGACCCTGAAGCAAGTCTTCGAGCCATAAGATTACTTCATACTAAAGTACTGGGAGACAAGGCATTAGTTGTAAGTAAATTATTGTTCATCATCTTGTAAATCTTCAGATTCTTTCCTGAACGTGTATATTGGTTAAGCCATTCTGCTTAACCCCCACGTGAACTCCCATGAGTATTCAACATTTACATTGTATGGGATTGTCAAAGCTGACAACTGGTACATTTTAGCTGCTATCCCAAATACTGTGCTGGTCTGTCTGAAATGTTGATAGGTCAGTTTGGAGAGAATATTGAAATAGAATTGCTCAGTTAGGACCAGAAGCAGTGGACAAAGTAAAATAGGACATAGGATTAATGTGATTTTAATTCTATTTGAGAGAAAAAGATAAAGGTGCATATCGTTAGTTCCTATGGGGACCATTATTATTATAGAAGTATGAGTATGAGATTAAGAGCCAGTATGGCATGAAAATGTCAATCCAGTTATGTTCCCAGAGTCATCAATCACTTCACCTTGTTGTTGAATAAGAGACTATTTACTTACAAGATTAACGTGAGAAATGCGCAAAATGTGATAATCAAAAGCATAAGAACTAGGTTTACAAAGTCATGCTCTTAAGTACTCCAATCAGCATCTTAAGGTCCCATGTTGTCCTGAAAGTGTTTATGAATAGATTATCAAATAAGTTGTGGAAAACTGACATCTGTGAAAGCTGAATGATATTGTACATATGGAGGAGTGAAAGAAATGTGAGGCAGTCATTACTTAGGAAGGGTTTATATTTCACCACTTGCTACTTTGATGATATTGTTATGGAGCTACTGTACATACATAAATCTAGTTAAATGTATATAGAAGTGCATGTAAATAGTTTTGCCAAATGCAGCTTAGCCACTGCATGTGTACACTGCATGTGTACAACATGCCCTTTCTTAATATATGTTTTCATGTTCTTCGTTTTCCTGGTGGACATGTAGGTTAAAGTGGATGCTAAAACCAAGACCTATCTTGATGAGTACAAAGCTGAGAAGAAAAAGGAAATGAAAAAGGTAGCTCATTGAAACTTTGTACAATATGAAGTCAAGGAAAGTATAAAATATACTTTCTAAAAAATTATACTAGCACATGTGGAGGTGTGTTGATAATGTACCAAACAACGGGATAGTGTTTTGTGTAAATTCTGATAAGAATGTACAGTAATGGTCAAAAGAACTTTGAAAGAATTTTGCTAAGGAAACAAGAATTCTTGTTAATCAAATCAATAAAAAATTATTTGCTACCTATGTTTACATGTGAACTTGTCTTTAAAAGCTAGGTCACACAAATGGTTCTTAAGGCATTGTTTAACAAATTTGTAGGCAGTTTGATGTAAAGTGCAAAAGCTATTTAGCATGTGCAGTGGCTTCATTTTTGAAAGCTTATGTTACAAAATAATTATTTGTCAGTTTAACTGGTAACAACTTTATGTTAAGGAAATCTTTTACATCTTTGGTAGAACCCAGAAGACAAGAAGAAAGAGGATGGGGAAGCTGATGATGACGAAGATGATGATAATGACGATCTTGATGAAGATACATTAGTAAGTAATAGAACATATTTCTAGTAAATCCTATTTTCTTGCTTACATAAATTAATTTTATTGAACCTCCCCAATGGTGTTTTTCAGGAACAATAACTTTTAAAAAGCGATAATAAATTCAATTGTTTACAGCTATAGCAAACTGAATAGTTTGTCTTAAAATTAATTTCTAATCCTTTGGTGTGTACCTGATTGCTTGATGCATATGAGATCGATATACAGAAATCAAAAATAGAAAAAAAAAATTGGATATTGTTTTTTTCTTTGCCGTGTTTCAGCCTTCTGAAAACCTCAAATTTCATGGTTAGTGCGCCATACACTCACAGTGCCTCTTTCCACCCAGGTGTNGGGGGGGGGTGGAAATTATAAATACTCCTATCAACTGGAGATAACTACCTTTACCTGTGTGCAAATCTAACTATATGGAGGTCTGTATGTTTCAATAAAAAAATCAAATAAGTTGCACAGTTTGTAGCACTGCACTCTCTTTGTTAAATTTTGTACATGTCTTAATGTTTTTTTTTTGTTTTGTTTTGTTTTTTGTTTTTGTTTCAGGCAGAGGATACAAGGGTCCAGAAGGCTATTGAACAGATATTAGTAGAGCATTCTGATATTTTAAACAGGAAAACAGAAGGTATGTGAGTTTGTTTTCATTGATTTGTTGCTGTTTTGTTAAATTTAAACATGCCCTCTTAAATTTTCATCAGTGTCCTCAAGTTTTTGCTTGAACCTTTCAATATTTTTTTTCACTCTTTTATCCCATACTCAATTAACAAGTTCAGTTCTCATCAACTTGTGCCAACTCTTGTTCTCATTTGGCACTGGTTTGTGGACCTGGATTAATGCAGTTGTTCATCTTTCTTTGTCAGGTGATACTTATTATCGGCCCACGCACAGTGGTTCAGAGGTATGCCATGTTCGATAACTTTGAATATTCTGTACTAAAATGTTACCTCTTCAAATAGAAGATGAGGTTTTATACCTTTGCTGNATGCCCTCTTAAATTTTCATCAGTGTCCTCAAGTTTTTGCTTGAACCTTAAATATTTTTTTCACTCTATTATCCCATACTCAATTAACAAGTTCAGTTCTCATCAACTTGTGCCAACTCTTGTTCTCATTTGGCGCTGGTTTGTGGACCTGGATTAATGCAGTTGTTCATCTTTCTTTGTTAGGTGATACTTATTATCGGCCCACGCACAGTGGTTCAGAGGTATGCCATGTTTGATAACTTTGAATATTCTGTACTAAAATGTTACCTCTTCAAATAGAAGATGAGGTTTTATACCTTTGCTGACATCCAGTTTACTCAAAGCCTGTTTTGGCTATACACAAATGCTTGTTTGAAAAGCTATTGCTAATTTGCAGGTGTTTATGTGGTGAAAATCTATGCTCCTTAAGCAACACTTTGGCTGTTTACAGTTCATTTCATTTTGCAGACTGGTTAAAAAAATAGGTTGCCATCTTCTTGCCCCCTTTGCCTTTTACCAGCCACCCTAACAATGTAATCCACATTTGAAGAAAACCAATTTTTGAGCTTGCCCTTTGGGCAAGTTATAACTGTGATGTACCAGCCAGAAAGCTTTTCACTAGCCTCCCCAAAATTTCATGCTACAGTGTAGCATGATAAGTGAGTTTTAAATCAAATCAATACAATGATTTTGTCACTTAAAGTTCTTCTGAAATTTGAATTTCCTCACAAATGTTCCCCAAAAAACTTCTCTTGCCCTTTGGTCAGGATCTGCTGGCCCATAAGCAAAAGGCACTTGTCTAGTCTTGAGTCATCAAACATGGCTTTCTGTGCACCCTGGTATTAAATGATATTTAAGTAGAAAAGGTGTTTTTGTATGGTTGTGTGTTTATATAATTTGTCTTTCTTCTCAGCAAAACTTGGAAGGACTGGATATGGATACAGAAAAGAAAAGCTTAGTGTCACGGGAGATCCGAAGCTTTCGAGACACGTACAGGGTAAGTTGACTTCTTTTCGTACTTTCTTGTAGTACATTTTTGGTTTGATTTTGTGTTGGGTCATTCAGCTTTTGTTTTAGGAGTATGGTACAGCATGTATGAACTTGAAGGGACATAAACTAAAGTACAGCTAAAACTGTTGGGCTACTGTAAACAGCAACAACTATGAGAACAAAAACAGACCAGACCAACTCAAACATATTGAAATGCTATCTGTGTATCCATCAATGATTGGCCCAGATTAACAAAGTTGAAAAGCTTCGTTTTTGTTCTGCATTATTGTTATTAGTTCTTGTTGTGTTGTCAGTGTTTGTACAATTTGAAGCTAAACGTGAAATATGGGGTTTATTTCAAATCATATTTTAATCAAACCAGTAACTATGCCATTTACGCTGCCTAACCATTTCCGCGCAAAACAAGCTTGTATGTTCAATGTAAATTGGAGTGTGGACCCTGAATTTTGTGTAGATGGAAAGCACACCTTTTTGATGTACATTACGTATGTACAGAGGTTTAATCAGCATTATTATTGACACATAAAACAGTTAATTGATGAGTTGGTGAGAATGGGCGATTTCCTCTTCTGCATTTTCTGCTTCTAGGATGATTGGCGGTAAGTAAGTATGTAAAATCTTTGTTATAAAATAGCTAAAGTGGAATACACAATTTGATCAGTCAATAGCTGTGAACCTGTGCCAAAAAAAAAAAACAATAGTCAGTTTATAGAAGAAATTTTAAACCTGGCCGACTTATTGGAGCAAAGAATGAAACCTCTTGGGATGTATACCAATGTGAATAACTAGGTTGAAGTTGAAGAACAAAAACTGCGCTCCACTTCTTCAGAATCTTTGGGTTTGTTCTAAACTGTCCTCATAAATGTTGGGCATACAGGTGTTTGCCTAAATCCATTTTGTTTGTTGGAAGTTAAAATAACTATGAGAATATGTTTTCTTTTTTTAAAAAAAATAATAATGACATTTTCGTAGTCAAACTATGAAAATGATTATTGGATTGTGTCAGCCAGTGTTAAACTGGTATTGTAGACCTGATATCATCACCACATATATAATTGAAAATGACTAAGAAGCTAAAGAAACAAGTTATGCGAACCCTCCTTAGCTTTAAGGTCACTTTGGTTAAAAAAGAAACACTAAAGAAGCGATAAAAACGGGTGTATTCACATTTCACATGGTTTTTGTTTTCCAATAAATTCCCCAAGGGGCTCATTGCATGTAATGTAAACTAGTGCGGAGGGAATCTCATATAAAGGAAAAGTTCCTATAAGAGGTAATAGACCATTCAGAAAAACTTGGCAAAACTTTTCATTTTCACGCCTTTAACCATAAGGGACTCATCAGAGTACAAGGGGGAAGAAATGTATAGGAAAAGGGGACAATTAATAAAATTAATTAAGTAGAGTAATTAATAATCAATACTCGAGAGATGTACCAAGTACTTGAGTGAAGCCGGTACATACAACAGACTTTCAAGAACATGGTAAGTATGAATGGACTGTGTTCTGTGAACGGTTCGTGTCTTGTACGTGTCTTGTGCTTGTCCTGTGTGAATGTGTTTTGTGAAAACAGTTGTTGCTCTTTTCTTTTGAACAGATGCAAGTTGTAATCAAGGAGACGTTAACTGGGATAAAGAAAATGTCCTTGCTGAGGTTTAAAATTGAATTTCGACTGCCTTAAACGCTAATTTAAATGGCAGCGTATTTTGTTTCAGGATCTTTTGGAGAGAGTGGAAACATTAACGACCATTCGCAGTCTGTAGGAAACTACAGACATTCATCGTGTTAACCGCTCTTTTACTTGATGTTGTTAATTCTCATCATTCCTCGTCTTTCTGTTGGTGTTTTTCAGAAAGAGGACAAGAGAAAGGAAGAGGAAAAGTCGGAAAGGAAGGAAAAAGAAAGGGAAAGAGATAAAGATCGAGAAAGGGACCGAGACAGAGATAGAGACCGAGATAAAGATAGGGAAAGAGAGAGGGAAAGAGAAAGAGAAAGGGAAAGAAAACGTGAACGCGAAGAACGTGAACGCCGAGAAAAAGACCGTGATCGTGGTGATCGTGATGATCGTGACCGAGACCGTGATCGCGATAGAGATCGTGATCGCGACAAGGTGCGTGAAAAAGACCGTGATTCTGACCGTGACAGAGAGAAGGATCGTGATTATGACGAGGAGGAGGAGGCAGACAGAAGACGGCGAGAGAGGAGACAGAGGGAGAAGGATGCATCTTACCAAGAGGTTAGACTAATTCACTTGCTTTTAGATGAAAGTTTTTCCGTTTATTCTTGTTTGAGCAGTTTTCAATTGAACGTCGTAAAACCAAAACCAGTGTAATCACTCTAGCCAATCACAAAGGACACAGACAATCCAATTAACCAATCAAAACGTGAAGTAATTGCATGTAGCCTACGCGAAGCGCGAGAAAACGTATGCGAAGGAGTCATGATTGGTTTTGGTTTTACTTTGATTGGATGAAAAAGCGGCGCGAGTTTTTTAAGCCAATCATGAAGTGTGGTGATGCAGAAAACCAATTACTTCTCAATATACAATATGCAATGGAACTGAGTTCAATTCAATGGAATTAAGTTAAATTATGCGCTGCGCTAATGGGACTTGTACCATCAAGCACTGCTAGCATATTTTCCCGCGCTTTCTACCGGTTTGACGTTTTCCCGCGCTTGCCATTGCCTGCCCTCTTTCCCGCGTTTTGCAGCCATTTCAAAGTTTTCCCTACTTTCCACCACCAATATGTTTTCCCCCGCGTTTCACCAGTTGCATATTTTTCCAGACTTTACTGTCAGTAACATGCTTTGTCGTGCCTTCTAGCTGTCAAAAGTTTCATTTTACTTTCAGTTTTGAACCAATCGTTGCGAGACAATATTGACCAACAGCACTTGGCTAAAAAAAATCAGTTTTGAGAACGTCTCAGACAAAACTGAATAATAGGGAAAATAAGATAAACTAAGAAGTATTTGTTCAACGTGCATTTATTTCCTTTCCGTTTCCTTTTAGCGTTTGAAAAATTGGGAAGCAAGAGAGCGGAAGAGAGGCCGAGAATACGAGCGAGAGATGGAAAAGGAAGGGGAGAAGAAAGATGAACAGGTATGATCACATTATTTGTTGTCAGTCTTACAATAAAAGAAATAAAAACGATTGGAATTGATACCGTGTGCCTGTCACCAGTGGACTGGACCACACAAAAACAAGAGCGAATGAATGAGAGTAAGAGAACAGAAACTGTCAAACGAGCTGAATGTATGCAAAAGTTGACACCAAGAGAGTCCAAATTCTTGATAAGTCGTGGTATGTGTATCCGGCCATGACAGTTCCGAGAAACGCCTCCTTACATTGAAAAAAAAAGTTCGGCTGGGTCGATCATCTGTTTAGAAAGAAAGAAAGAAAGAGAAGCACAGATAATTTCTCAGACACTTCATTCGATGAAGAGCCGTGGGACGAAAGGGTTCAACTATCCTCAAAATAAACAAAAATCTCCTCATGTTGTTCAGTCAATACGGTTACTTATTTTCTGTTTAAATACGGTTACTTATTTTCTGTTTCTGACTTAGGCCCGCGAGAGGAAACATTTATTAACATTTCTTGAAGACTACGAAGATGACAAAGATGATCCTAAATATTACAAGTAAGTGACGATGAAACGTCTTACATTTACAGTGATAAACGTCCAAGAAATTTACCAGCTATATTTTCATGAGTCGGTCGTCGTAGAACTGACTACGTCCTACACAGGCTTTCGCTTGCCATACGTTACAATTATTGGTCACTTCCTTAGAGGACTAGCAGCAATTAATTTACAGCTAATTCTCTACTTTTAACTTGTAATAGTAGTAATAGTACTAGTACTAATGTACTAATAGTAGCCATAGGAAAACTTCGCGACCCTGCAGCCAATCAAAGTTGAATTAGTTTTGCCTCCTCGCTCTGACTGGTCATATCATGTTGCAGGAATTTTAAAACCATTCACGAAGCTACGAAAACGCAAAACCCAGCTAAAACATCAACTTACAGTTTTGTTTATCTCTTGAAGGGGAAGCGCATTGCAGAGACGGCGGCGGGAGCGAGAAATGGAGGTGGAAGCCGACGAAAGAGACCGGCAACGAGAAATGGAGGAAATCGAAGAGATTAGAAAACAAATTGTTGATACTCAGTCGGAAGAAATGGATGAGCAGGTTAGAGCATCCGTTGCAGAGCGTACAGATGCATCTAGATAATGACTATTTTCACTAATAATTCAGACCTTTGTCGAGTGTTGTTGTTTCTAAAGCTCTGATATTGGGTGTTCTCCTTCAACATTTTCAAGTTAACAGGCAATTTAAATCTTGTCAAGCGTTAAGGCGTTATTGCAAAGAGTAGTTTTTAAACGTTGAATTGTTGAGCTGAGGGACACATACCGGTACCAAACTCCAAAGACTGGGTACTTATTTGTCATCAACAGTAATCTTGAAAGGGACTCTCAGGGAGTGAAATGCAAGATGGCGGCCACACCGCTGTGAATTGCGGCTAAATACAAGAATTGCACCTCATTAAATGTTCTCCGGTTAGCCTGAATATCACTGTACTTATCCTAAACAGCACTCCAGTTAGCCTAAATACCACTTTGGTTAGCCTGAACAGCACTCCGGTTAGCCTGTGTAGCGTTTCGGTTAGCTTAAGGTAACGCTGACTTGGGAATGGTTAGCTGCTTAATAGAGTGCAATTCCTGTCTTTAGCTGCATGTCTGCTGTGACAGCCCGCCATATTGGATTTCAGTGTCTGAGATAGTCTGGGAACAAGGTTGAATCCTCGTACAAAAATCTCGAACCCCTCGAGGGCACGTACGTTACGTTTGTTTCGTCATCAACGGGCGTCTTTTCACGTAGAATTTTTCTGGCGAAAAATTTGTTTGGTCCTCGACTCAGTGAGCTGCTTTGTTCATGTACAGGATGGTAAAGACAGCGACAGAGAGGAAGAGCCTAAACCCGCTTTACAACCAACCTTTAAACCTGCGGTAGTACCACAACCTCATGTAAGTTTCCACCTTTCCTGATCTGCATCTATTTTCTCCTAACAATAACGAGACCATGCAAATAACCGATGATTAAATCATCATGTTGGTAGTGTTGTCTTGATGTACCACGTAATTCTTAGAACTGGCGTTAAAAGAAATTTATGGCTTTCGGTGAGGAGAATCCGTATTTTAACTTGTCTCGTTGTTCTTAAGTTTGTTCCTCAGGTTGAACCAGCCCCTGTATCGAACTGGTCACCAAGCCCCAGGTCAACAGACTCTTCACCGGTCACTGTCGGCATGAAAAGATCGCGAGAGAATGGGCAAGAAGCTGAGGCAGACGTGGAGCCAGCACCCAAGAAGGCGTTTGGATTTGAGATGAAGTTGAGCAGTAACATGGTAAAAATATTTAACGTCGATTTCAGTTTATTAGGATACATAACATCACCTCCTTATAATACAGTGTTGTCTTCTCTGGTACGAAAACCACAGTTTTCGGCATCCTTTAACCTTACCTTGCCTGTCTGATGGCCTGGTGAAAAATTATTATGAAAATGAGTTTAATTTGCATGTGAATGAAATCTCATTTTCATATAAAAGGATGGCCAGCACTTTGACTTTAAGAAAGAGGCTAAAGGTAATTCGGTAATGGTCTATTGACTTCACCTGCCAATTTTTTTTTTCTCTTTGCATGAGGTGGGGAGGGGGGGGGGTTGAAGAAATCGAGCACCAGGTTGGTTCATTGTGTTGTGAGAAAGTTCTCTCTACACAGGTGTTTAAATATCATATCTGTACCAGCAAGTACTGGGAGCGTTCGGGGCTACAACAGCAACAGAGTGTAACCTTTTATTGTTTCGTTTGACACCAGCCTTCCGCGGCCAGCCAGGCGAGTCGTAAGAAACTCGAGGCAGTGTTTGGCGGCGTTGACGATGATGACTTGGCAGGAGCGGTTCCCAAGCGGAAACTGGTCAAACTGGACGAGGAGGAGGCGTCTAAGGACGAGAGTGATGAAGCTGAAGATAAGAAACGGATTATTAAATCGCTTATAGAACGTATTCCTACTGCTAAGGAAGAACTGTTTGCTTATAGCTTGGATTGGAGTATTGTAGACCAGGTAGGTGTGTGCTGTTCAGGGTATGTTTTGTTTCAGGTGGAGGTTGTTGCTCTGTTCGCCCCCTTGGACGCCACAGTAGCGGAACATGTAAGCTTAATATAGCTTGCTCAGATTAGTACCATGTAAAACAATGCGTACGTTCTTGTTTAAATGCCCTGTTCGGACTGTGTTAACTGGGAAATCGTAATGACTGTCCGCGTCAAGTTGTCGGAGTGTCTAGCGATCAGGAAAATTAGCGATCTGTAATTAAAGCTAATCTCACCGCAATCTTAACAAATTCTCTGGGCACTGGGCGTTCACCAAAACGCGGCATTTTTGGAGGAAATATTACAAAACAGCTCGTAGAAAGTCTGTATACCCAAGAAGTTTTAGTTTTAAGGTGGCTCAGTGTTGACTGAATATGCGCTTGTCAAGTCTTCTTACTTGCGATTTCATTGGACACTTGGATCATCATGTGATGTAAGTACAGTTCCTATATTTAGTATGTAGTCAGACTCCACGCCAGATCTCGCGCTACTTACTGAATATGTTAGTGTAACTAATTTTGCGTATGTTGTATCTGTAACGTTAATATAGCGAATGGGATCTGGGCGCGAGGCTGTGATCACGTGCACAGTTCAAATCCTAAACTCCTGATTGGTTCATTTTAGGGTCTTGTGGATCGTAGAATACGACCCTGGGTTAATAAGAAAATAATTGAGTACATTGGCGAAGAGGAGCTGACCTTAACAGACTTCATTTGTAGCAAGGTAGGACGTTATTTATTAGTTCAGTAAACTGCAATCCTGGTCAAAAGTAACTTTTCACACATGCGTTTGAATAACTTTTGCATTTTTATGGAGTAGCTGTTTTGATTTTCAATTGTGAGGGTGACACTTCTTGCTTAACAATGTGAAGGTGAGTGGGTGGGTGGGTTGTGAGTGTAGTGAAACCTTTCCTTGCTCAAATAAGGGGAGTGGTATGTATTATCGAAGGTGCAGAGGGGGGGGGGGGG